CCATATTTGATTGTTCTTATCAAACCGAGAAAACTATGTTGGGCACCCGGGAAAAACTGGGAAATTATTTCTTTAATCGGGTGTCCACCCTAAAACAGGGTGACCATTCATCCAGGGAAACCGGTAATTAGTTAGTCCGGATTAGAAAATAATATATAAAGTTTACTTCGGAGTCTCATTTTTTCCGAAGCCCTGAGTAGGTTTTACCGTGCGAGTCAGGCTTTCCCTTTTGAAGAGTTTTCGTAAACCGGTATCTTTTATTTTGATTGCATGAAATCTTAACAACTCTTCGAATTCTCTGATATTTAATAGCTATTTATCAAATCCCGAATCTTGAATTTCTGTACCCGGGGACTGCAAATTTACAATGCCTGAATTATATAGGAAATGGCCTATGGATCTAAGATTGGGCCCATCGCTAAAAATCTGTTATGTATCAATTTTATCTAGTTGAACGCGTCATTGGGACGGTACTAATGGATATTTTTGGTGAAAATTTAGTCGATTGCTGATTTCTTGAATTTGCCCAAAATTAGGGGCATTTAGGCCGAAATTACATTCATTTCCCCTATGAAGATTATTTCTAGATTTCTAGACGATAACTCTCCATTGGATATCTATGGAATTTTGTTAGATTTTTTGTTTAAATCGTCCCAAAATGTCTTCAAATATGCTTCCAAAATTCCACTGAATAATTTCCCTCGAGGGAACTCTAAGAATTCACTCTACAATTATCTTGTCTCATAAAATTGTCGCGAGAATCCCTTTAAATTTATCTCCACGCAGAAAAAATACACTCTGAAAAAAAATCAAGAATTTTTGCCAAAAAAGCAGTTCCAAGCCAAATGAAGATTCGGAAAAACTTGACCCTCTCCGATTTGCATAATTGTGTGTGTCGCAGCCGCTGTAGAGTTGGCCGCAATGCCTACCGTTACGGAGTCGTGACAGGAGCGCCCATTGCTCCGGGACATCAGCATAAACGTCAAACGGACAAAACAGCGCTTGGGTTTCGGCAGCCAACATACTTTCTATTATACTGTAGAGAATTGAATTCTGTCTTTGTTAAGTTGCATTATACTAGTTAAATAATTATTAAAGTAAACCGCTAGTGACCATTGAATAGAAAGGCACGTTGCAGAAGGAATTTAGTAGTGATTAGTTGGAAGGAGGATTAAATCGAAGGTAGCTATTGATTGGCAAACGGAAAGATCGAATTATGATTGTGATTTATTTAGGGGAAACAGGTATCTGTTGGACTCGTTGTTGGATTGGGGCCGGAAGCTGGCATTCAGGAATTGTTGGAATATTGAAAGGCAAACTGAATTGTAAGTTGCTCATTAAATTATTGGAGGGTTCATTCTATTAATTTCTGCTCCAATTACAGTTTTGAAGCGCTTGAAAATACACGCTCTCGAATCTCAGTCGGCCGTTTTATTCCTCTCAACAGTGTGTTATGGGCAATCATTCACATTTTTACAAAAATTGGACCATTTTGGATGTGATGTGTTTTTCTAATTTTTCAATAAACTGTAGCACGAGAACGTCACTTCTGATCGAAATGAAGTCTGAGTCAAAGTTGGACACCCCAAAAAACCATGCAAATATGTTTTGTTCAATTTTCGATCTCCAAAGGTTATTTTAATGGTATGAATGGTATAGCATAAGAGAAGGTCCATTAATTATGTCACGCAAATTTGGCCCATTTTCAACCCCCCTCCCCCGTTTGTCACATTTTTTATATGGACCATAATTGTTTTTTGTAAGGCTCTTCACAGTTTCCAAAACCCCCCCTTCCTTCTAAAAGTGTTACATAATTAATGGACGATCCTTAAGTATTCTACTACTACTTTTATTTCAAAATTTGGCCAACCCAATTCTGAAAAAATCAGTCACGATTCTTCAGAGTAAATTTTGAAAAATATTGTAGCTTTGGGTGAACTTTTAGCACACAAAATTTGAAAATTAAAGGGTGTCCACGATGAAATTGCCACACTATGAAATTGCTCTAACTTTTTAACCGTTGGGTAGAATTTAATGAAAATTTGGGTGGATTTAGTTCATAGTGCATTATTTACATCCTGCAAGTTTTAAAGTCCTGTGATCAAAACTCGCGGAAATGCAGTCGAAAGAACAGCTCGTGCGTGATAAAATCTTGCGCATTCATCACGAGAACAAGGATCTCTCGCATCGTTCCATCGCTAAAACGTTGGGAATCGCGAATTCCACGGTGTCGCGAGTGATTAAGCGGTTCGAGGAACGGTTGACCACCGATCGGAAGCCCAGAAGTGAAGGAAAAAGTATTCCGTACAACACCAAAAATCACAACCGCGTAGTTGGGGCCTTCAACCGAAATCCGAACGCCTCCGTTAGGGATGTGGCTAAGAAGCTGCACCTAAGCCGAAGTTTTGTCCAGAAGGCCAAAACTAAGGCTGGGCTTCGAACGTTCAAGGTACAAAAGGCCCCTAATCGCGACGAGAAGCAGAACAAGTCCGCCAAAACCCGTGCCAGGAAGTTGTACCTCAACATGCTGACGAAAGTTGAATGCTGCATCATGGACGACGAAACATATGTGAAGGCCGACTTCAAACAGATCCCCGGCAACCTGTTTTTCACGGCCAAGGATAAGTTCAGCGTTCCGGAGCATGTCCGCACTCAGAAGATGTCCAAATTTGCGAAGAAATTCCTGGTTTGGCAAGCCATCTGCACGTGCGGGAAGCGGAGTGCACCTTTCGTGACCCAGGACACGATGAACGGACAGGTGTACATAAAAGAGTGCCTCCAGAAGCGGCTGCTTCCTCTCCTGAAGGCCCACAACGTCCCAACAATCTTCTGGCCGGATTTGGCCTCATGCCACTCCTCCAAGGACGTGCTGAAGTGGTATGCGGACAATAAGGTCAATTTCGTGCCGAAAATGTTCAACCCTCCCAACACTCCGGAGCTCCGCCCCATCGAGAAGTACTGGGCGATTATGAAGCAGCACCTTCTTAAACGACCTAAGGTAGTGAAGACAGTCGAGGAACTGAAGAAAGTATGGGTTTACATGTAAAAAACGGTTGATTCACAGGTTGTGCAGAATCTTATGGCCGGGGTTAAGGCCAAGGTGCGGGCATTTGCGTATGGACTGTAAATAAAATACGAGTAAAATGGTAAAATGAAGTTTAATAGTTATTTCTCAATCCCTGAAAATTTGATGGCAATCGGATGAAAACTCGAATTTTGCGAATCAATTTTGTGTGTGGCAATTTCATCGTGGACACCCTTTATATTGAACAATTTGCCTACGAGGAAAGTTTCATTCAATACCTTTCAAATGATCTAAAAAGAACGAAAATTGGACGTAACATGACAGAGATATGAACGTAATAAATTTGTCATGTTTTTTTTTGGAGGTGTCCTTAAAATTATGCTCGGGAGTGTACCTGTTTTTTTCAAGGTAATTTTAAGTACAAATTCCAAAAAAGTATATTTTCATTTTTTTTTATTTATAAAAAATAGCTCAGGAGAAATGCAAACTTTTGGAATAAATAAAACTATTGACGAAAATCGTTGAACAAGAACATTTGGTCAAATATATAAACTTTTTACTAGTACGATTTTGATGTAATTTCTTAACTGGAAACAATATTTGAGACATTTGAAATCGTTATCTGTGCAATAATAGTTAATCAGTTAATGTGAAGTAACGAAATACAACTAAAAGTTGATTGTTCTACGATTTTTGTCAATTTTCATGTGTTCATGGTTTTACATACTCCTTAAGTTAACATTTTTCATGAGTATTATTAAAGAAATTAATTATAAATATTGAATTTATACTTCTTAAGATATTCCAGTATACTTTTTTAAATTTTTACTCTAAATTACTAAAAAAAATACCATGTGTTATTATAGAATTATTTTGATTTTCTAAAAAACTTTGTCTCAGATGTCATTTGATCAGAAGAAATGTTTTAGTGCTACAATTTATTGAAAACTGTCAGACGCCATTTTGAAAAAAAAAAATAATATCTAAAATTGCCGAAAATGTGAATAACACCTAATTATGCAATGTTTCGTGCAAGCCGGAGAAGGTTGAGTTTTAAATTTTTGATTTTTTTTTTCATTCTATTTGGTCTGGAACTGGTCAACTGTTAGAAGTGTTTACGAAAAGATATGTGTTTTGGTCAATTTTGAAATGTCCGTGGATGAACAAAAAAAAAAAAAAAAAACACATTCATAACATTCTATAAGTCGATTTTTCTTTAACTCGATGATCTCTTCAATATTGAGATATGGAGAGTGGACTGTAGTTCAATAGAACTACATAGTAGCTCAAGGATTCTTCAAAAAAGTTCAGTTAACTCCATAAAGTTAAAAGATAATGCTTTTCGAACCCTTTGTTAAGATCAGAAAACCTCATAGAAAGTTGAGAACAATCTTGGAAATTTAGGGATCTTCAAAAATTTTCATTTAGTTTTAAAGATGTTCAGAGAATCTAAACAAAATTCAATGAACATCAGAAAAGCTTTTAAAACATGAAAGTTGCTTCGGAAGCCCCTAAAAAATATATGTAAGAAAGTATTGAACATTTTATGAACCATCACGTAATTCTGGAGAAGTACAAGGTGGACCCTCATATCGTTTAAAAATATCCCATTGGGATACTTCTCATTCATATTTGTTAACAATAAACTTAACCAAGCTTTCACTCTTAGTTCTACCATTTTTCATAGAAATGCCAATTCTGTCACTCTTAAAAAAAATGTAAAAGCAATCCAAATTTTTCTCACAATGTCATAACCCGGTACTATGTAGCATTAGCATGAATGTATTTGAAAATGGTCCGTAGGCAGCATTTGCTACTAGATGCTAATAGCTGAATTTTATTTCGATTGGTGCTAATAAAAAAATGTAGTTAACTAAAATTGCACATGGAATTTATTCATTGCGAGGAGATGGCTTCTCTATCAATCTTACACACTGCATTCTTAAATAGATAATTTAAAAAAAAGTTACCGTACCTGCAAACAGGTCCATCTCAAGTCCAGACGCCAAATCCAAACCGCAGATGACAAAGTAATCCGCAAAGCGACAAAACTGCTGCTGCAGACTATCGTTCAGTCCTTTGGGTTTCCCGATGACCTCCAGTTGGCTGGTAGAACCTCCCATGCTGCTGGACGCTCTACTGTTGCTGCCGCTGCAGCACGATTCAGCACCTGTGGATGCATCTGGCTGTGGTGGTTGTTGTTGTGGTTGTTGCGATTGTTTACCACAGCCATTGGCACTGCTGTTATCACCGTTGCTGCAGCCGAGGCCATTGGATGTTTTCTCGCTCATGTTGCCAAATTGCTCACCGATTGCACAATACCTCAATTACAATTGGCAATTTTTCGGCGTAGATTTTATTTTCGCTCCGTTGTTGTCCGAGCTGGTTCGTTTGGGTAGTTATTTACAATTTTCTCAAAGCCATTTTTTCACAGCACACCGAGCACACATTGGTAGCTCGAGGGGAGAATAAATAGAATATAACCCCTTTCGAAGCGTGAAGGGGGTTGTAGAGAAGGAGAGAGCATACGGTGAGGTAAACGTAAAATAAAATATTGATACACACAGTCCACTTCGTGGAGTGGACGATTCGGACGTACACAGAAAAAAAATATACACAATCGTGACTCGCTGGTGACCTTCTTCACCAAAACATACGCTCTTCGTTTTCTTCTTGGTTTTCCGCACACGTTAAATACCTCGCCAGTCGCAAAATGCGCGAGAGAGGACGTGCAGCACTAGCACAATCACAATCACGCATGTAGCGTAAATATCTCACTCAAACACACGCGCACGTGAGCAAAGAGCGTAAGACCCCTTTGATTGCTAGGAGATCGATTTTCTTTGCTGCTTGTATTTTTTTCTTATTACCACTTCATCTTGGCAGCTTCATTTCATCTCGCCTTTTAGATGCTTTCCTAACTCTTATATCATAGCACTTCTTTCGAATGGCCTTTCTGCGTTTCTTTCTCTCCCTTGTGTATTGGTTGAATTTTTAATTTATTTCATGTTTTCGTCAGCGACTGCTTTGACGGCCACGACGACGATAAACTACAGGAAACACGGACGACAATCGATAACGCGACACCGAGACATTCACAATTTAGGAATGCATCTATCTCCTAGATCTTGGATCACTAGGGAACTCGTTCACGTCACACGAATTGTTCACGATACACAAGTGCGAAAGTATTAGCGAAACAACAGCAACGTTCACCTTCTCTAATTGCGCGATTTCTTTTGTTCGAGGAGCAAGGATTTCTGTTTTGCACTAGGTTTATTTATTTTTTTTTTGCTATATAGCTATCCGCCTTCCAGCTTCCTTATGTCGAGAACTGCGTAGCGATTTACGTACGTCCGCGTACATCGGTAGCTGAAGAAAGACAAAGACGTACTGAAGACACAAGTGTGTACGCCATGAGCTTCAACCCCCGTCGCGGTGAGCACGGGAGAGAGCGAACGTGTGATGAAACAAATACAATCAAAATGAGTTGCCTTCGCTCTCCGCGGCTTACAGTTTGACAGCTGTGACTATCAATGTGCTAGTTTCATCGCAGACTACTACTGCGAGAGCGTGATGTTAGCCCATGTTTGATTAATAAAATTGTTTGTATGGAACTGGCTGCTTCCATGCAATAATTTTATTGGAAATAAATCCATCTCGGTAAGTTTCAGTTTTTATTATTAATTATAAATGGTAAGTGATGAAGATAGTGAAGTGTAGTGAAATAGTGAAAATCTGTCAATCCCCTGTCAATTCTGTCAATTCTGTCAATTTTCGTTTACAGTGTACAAACGTGACATTGTCTGTCACTTTCAATGTCAAATTTGTTTGTACCGCTGCTGTGTGAATTTCCCAAGAAGCTGTCTAGTTGTAGTTGGAAAGTTTCTCTTTTATTTAAGGGAAACATTTCCAGATCCAGAATATTTGCAGCTTGTTTTATGCAGAACTGTGTTCGTACTACGTAAGTTCTTCAAGTTACAATTGCAGACATCGATAATCGATAATTGGATTGCAGCTATCGCCTGTTATCAACCATGTACAAGGATTCTGGAACTAATCTTGCTTCCCTTAGTGCTACCGAAATCAAAGAATGGATCAATTCATTCGATACGGTTCTAACGGACTGTGATGGTAATTCTTTTGCATCGTCAATAAAACATTTATGATTGAAAATTTAATGTTTTAGGTGTTATCTGGGTTGACAACAATACACTACCTCAGGCCACCGACGTTATTAACAAGTTCATCGAAAATGGCAAGAAGCTATTCTTTGTGACTAACAATTCTACCAAAACCCGACCCGAGTTTGTGACGAAGTCTGTCAAGTTGGGTTTCAATGTCGGCGCCGTAAGTTATTCCAATTGCTTAATGCACACTACGAAAAGCTCATCTAAATGTTGGGGCCCTGAAGCCGACATATACGAACATCACTTATGACATAATATTAATGCATGGTTACATATATTAATTATTCAAAGTGTATGAAATACATTCATTTTCATCACCTTCATTTCCAATTCAAGGATAACATCATCTCCACTGCCTACCTAGCAGCTCAGTACCTGAAAGGGATAGGGTTCAGCAAAAAAGTCTACGTCGTTGGGTCGACCGGCATCAGCCGGGAGCTGGATGCCGTAGACATCCGACACATCGGAATCGGCTCGGATGTCCTCGAGGGAAGTCTTGCGGAAGCCGTTCAGGGCTTCACTCCGGACCCAGAGGTCGGAGCCGTAATCGTCGGGTTCGATGAGCATTTCAACTTCATCAAGATGATGAAGGCGGCATCGTACCTGGACATGCCGGACGTGATCTTCATCGGGACCAATACGGACGAACGGTTTCCCATGCCGGGTTGTGTGATTCCCGGAACGGGTAGTATTGTGAATGCGGTGACGACCTGTGCCGAGCGGAAGCCGTTGGTGATGGGAAAACCGAACAAGCATATATGTGATATTCTGGAGAAGGAGTACAAGGTGGATCCGAGCAGGACGCTGATGATTGGGGATCGCTGCAATACGGACATTTTGCTGGGGAAGAACTGCGGCTTTAAGACACTGCTTGTTGAGACGGGGATCCACAAAGCGGCGGACATTGAGAAGTTTGCACAGTCCAACGATGCGGAAACGAGACAGCTGGTGCCGGATGTTTATACCAGCAAACTTGGGGATCTGCTGCCATATCTGTGAATGCGTTGCTTTGGAAGGCATCATTCGACTGTGAATCTCTAGAAGAGATTCTTGTACTAGAATGACTTTGCTGTGAGGTGCTTCATAGATGCATTGAAATAAATATAGTCTGCTGGGATGGATTTGTTGTTACTATTTAAATATTATAAGCATCCAAATTTTAAATTTAACTGTATGATCCATTGACAGCCGATAGTCAAACGTAAACCTAAAATGTGATCGAAATGATCAATATAATCGAACAGGGTGGCAACTACCTACAATAACCGGGAAATGCTGAAATTATCAGGGAATTTTTAAACATTTAGTTCAATCGAGTTGCTGAATTCTATTTGTTAGTTTCTGGATCAGATCTATTTCTAAGTCACAGAGTCTTCAAAATATTATCTCTGCCTTTATGTTTATACAGTTGTAATTATAACTTTGAAATTCATTTGAAATTCACTTTGGTAGCATAATGTTGCTATTTTTCTGTGCTAGAAATTTCGATTTTTTTTTCAAAACATCTTTAAAACTCGGTAATTTTGAGGTATTAACGTTCTGGAAGTCTTTGATCTGCTGCCACTTCGCATTTTCCGGAGTATATATATCAGCTAGGGTAAGTGAGCCAGTTTTTGGCCCTAGTGATTCTCTAATTGACCCTATATTAATTTTCAAATTTGTGCACTATTTACCAAATTTATTTCGATGCAAGGCTAGAACAGGGATTTTGCCATATATCCTCGCCAACATAACCATGAAAGTTAATTTTAAATTTGAGTTAGGCCCTAGCTCAAAAAACTGGAGCACTACTGCCAGAACTGGCGCACTTATCCTACCAGACAACATACAATAACTAAACTGCTTCCCCATGTTTTATGCGACGCATCAAATTTAATAGGGGAAATGACGGCTTCGGCATGACAGACTATTTTCGGCAACACAAATTGAAACACTATTTTCACTGGATTTTCTAACGAAAACACTTTACGCTTTCAGCTTCAACTTGACTATATTTTTACCACTGAGAAAAAGCAATCTACCAGGGTTTTCTTGAAATGAAACACACGCACTACAAATTGTAGCTGATTTCGAGTTGCCGATAATAGAACAGCAGATTTACATGCAGTTCAAATGGAACGGTTGCCGAAGAAAAACTGGTTGCCGACAATACTCGCTCTCACTAGAGAAGATTGGAGCTTTGTAAAAGCGTTTCAAAACAGTTTTTGACAATTCTTTCGACTCAAGTTGTTAGAGCAGCTGCCAGCAAAACATTGTAAACAAACCAATACTGCATATGTGTGCGTTCCTCAGAGAAAAAGGCTATAGAAAGAAGGTCGCTGCTTAGGTTGCCGAGAATACGTAAATTCCCCTACTTGAAATCGCAATATCGTATCATTTTAAATTTTATTCCATGCCAAATTTGTAAAAAAAAATTCAATTATCGAGATCTCAAGAATAAACAAATTATAACTTCCAGATCCCAATTTTTTAAATATTTTCCAATATCAGGATTATGAAATTCTTCGGAAGTTCCAATATTATGTAAATGTTAAAGAACTTTCCTTGTCAAATAGTTAAAAATCTTATGCCAGGAAGTTAAAAAAAAATCTATCCTGAGCAGGGCTGTGAAGTCGGACGTGAGGAGTCGGAGTCGGAGTAGGAGTCGAAAAAACAGGTACCGAATCTGACTTTAATAAAAATAATAATTTTAAACTTGATAGTCCCAAAAGTTGGTCAACCGTTTTTGGTTCATGATCAATTAGATTGAATTTAAATGCCTATCGATGAAAACTAACATGAGTCGTCTAAATCCACATTCACTGTTGATTTAGGTCTAACAAACCTTCTTATATTACAGTTTTTAGTATGTGTCTTATCTCTTCAATTTCATTAAAATGTCTGAATTTTTCGATTGCTAATTTAATTGAAGAGGAGAAACAATTACAAATTTGGTTAACGTTTCAAAATTAGTGAAAAAACTTTCAAGCTGCTTTTGGTAACAGTTTGCAAAATTTCAGTTCGGTTCGGTTTAAAAAAAAAAGTAAACAAATCGTTTATCGATTGTGACCAATTTCTTTTATACAAAATTTTGATTTTATTTACAAATTGCTACAAAATGGTCAAATGTTGTGAAAATTTCCGATCTAACTTGTGCCAATTTTTCGTTATAAGTGGTGGCCCTTTTCATTAGCAATAACAGAAATATTTGTTTAAATGTCTGCACATTTTTAAGGGCTGCGAGCGAACCGGGAAATAACGAGGAATTTAAAAAGTTACGGGGAAAACCCCGGGAAATTGACGAGAGAACCGGGAAAAATAAATTAACCATATCATACGAACACATTTTACCTCAGAATTGCAGAATAAACCCAATCAAAAGAATTACTTGATCTATTTGCTGCATGATTTTTTTGTAATTTAATCACTCAGCAATAATTCAAATTGATTTTTGTTCTATTTCTATTTTAGATGTAAAGTTCAGGAATCTTTAAAAGAACATATTGTAGATTGTGGGCTTTGGAAAAAAAAATATCTGTAAAAAACGAAACTGAACTATTCACTTTTGGGATTTTATTTTTTTTAATTCGAAATCAAAATAACCATGCTGTGTTTTATTCACAATTCCCATTCAAAAAATAACTTGGAATTCTACTCTGAAGTATCATGGATTATTATAAAATTAACTAGGAAACTCTTCTCGTACTTACCGCTGATTTCTTTTTGGAATTTCCTAGAAAGTCATTTAACGAATTTGATTGGAATCCTTCTGAAAAAGAGAGAGTGAGTCACTTTTACTTATTCGTATGCAGTACTGAAGAAATCAATCTTCTTAAGAACATTACTTTCAATGTTCAGTAAACGAAAAGAACTCAGCCATTCATCAATTATCGATGTCCTCAATAACCTTAACTTGCAAGTAATCAAAGCTAATTTTCTGAAAGATCTTTTACCTCATCACAACAATTGGTGACCAACAATCACAGATATATTGGCAAACCAACATATGAAATTAAATCAGAAGTTCAGAACTAAGCTTTTTGACTGATCGTAAAATGAAAAATATTTGCTATAGCAGAAAATATATGATACATTACAAAATTCAAAAAATATTTGAGCCTCCATGGCTATTGCCCCCCCCCCCCCCCCGCTCATATGCGGCTCTGTTCGTAAGGAGAAATTTATAAAAACGTAGAAGCACTTTTAGAAATTTCTCCATACCCTTACCCATACGGGACCCTTTCTGCGAGTACCGGTATTTCGGTACCGATAAATTACCGGTACCAAGGGATTTTAAGAAAATAATTGAAAATATTAGAATAATAATTTATTTAAACGAGTCCGTCTTGGTGTACTCTCACGCTTAAGGTCACTTCTTTAAATTTGTTGCCCATTGTCGGGAACTTCTACTTATACCGTAATGGTCTCTCGTGGTTTGCCATAATCGTCTGTATATTCCTCTACCTTAGTCTCAAACACCCATAAAAGTCACGAATCGCCTTTCATATGAGAGGGGGCGACCCCGGTGTAGTGGTTAGCATCCATACCTCTCACGCCAAAGTCATGAGTTCAAATCTCACCCCGGACAAGTCACAAATGACCCAAGAACGTTAAAGTGACTATAAAAAAAAATCATATGAGAATGAACACTAAATAGTCACGAAATTTCCAGACACAGAAAAGTACAAACAGTTCTGTCATGCCAAATTTAGAGCTGGTTGGTCACGGATATTACATATCTAGATAGAGCTGGAATTAGGGTGTAACAGCTTTTGAAAACAATGGCTTCTCTCGTTGATTTCTAGAAATTCATGGCACGCCTACACAAACCAACATCCATCGGGTAGGGGAAGTCTTCCCCTATTCGATGGTGATGTCTATTTGCCAGGGTGAGCCATGACTTTCGAGAAATCATCAAATACATGCGTCTCCTTTAAGGAGCGTCGATAATCGTAATTAAGGGAAGTACACACAAAACTAGAGTACGGGTAAAATTAATCTGCAATCAGCAAAACTTAAAAATACTCTTTTATTGTGTATTGGATTTTCTGTTTAACGCTACGATGTTTTATGTCCAACGTTTCAGTTTTTGGCCTTGACATTCTTCATGGGATATAAATTTGTACCATCTGCCGTTCAGCGCAAAAAGTTTTACGATCTACTAAAACATCCTAAAGATCCCAACCCGTAGATCGAAACTCAAACATAACTAGCAATTCTTCAAGATCTTTAAAAGTGTGGACTTTTCAGATGTTTTCGGTCTTAGCAATTAATTGAAGAAACCGCTTTGAAGATCACTGAACCTCCTTCAAATACTCTGAACATTTCAAAAGTAATGAAAGTGCCTAAACATATTGAAACTTCTCTTAAGTTCTCAGGGCTTGCTGAAGTTTTTGGAAATTCCCTGAGTTTCAAGTTACGTTAATTAAACTGCACTGAGGCTTTCTGATCTTCTCTGATGTTCTAGACTTACCTTACCAATCAGGCTAAGGCCTTGTTGTCCTCTGCTGTCCGAAGAAGTCGTCTCCACTCTACTCGACCCATGGCCACAGTTCGCCAGCCTCGTAGTCTGCGAAGGGTCCGCAGGTCACCTTCTACTTGGTCGATCCACCTTGCCCGCTGAGCGCCTCTTCTTCTTGTTCGTGTTGGGTCGCTTTCTAGAACCATTTTCACTGGGTCATCGTGCGGCATTCTTACGACGTGCCCAGCGCACCAATTTTTGCAATGTGGACGATGGATGGTTCTCCCAGGTGCAATTCGTGGTTCATTCGCCTTCTCCACGTTCCGTCATCCATCTGCACTCCACCGTAGATGGTACGCAACACCTTCCGTTCGAAAACACCAAGGGCACGTTGGTTCTCCACGACCATAGAGTGGGTCTCGTGGCCATAGTCTACCACCGGTCTAATCAGCGTTTTGTAGATAGTCAACTTCGTGCGGCGGCGAATTTTATTCGACCGGAGCGTTCTCCGGAGTCCAAAGTAGGCACGATTATGCGTCTTTGAATTTCTCTGCCGGTATCATTTTTGGCGGTCACCAGTGAGCCCAAATACACGAACTCATCGACCACCTCGATTTCGTGACCGTCAATCTGAACTCGGGGTGGGAGGCTAACATTGTCTTCCCTAGAAC